ATCTATCGGTTTTGCTTGCAGGAAAGTCCAGGGATCTGGTTCGATTGGCTTATTTAGGATTGCTGTCAGGAGTCTGGCTATGCTAACCCAGTATTGCACCACTTTTGGGCATGTCAACTACCTATGTAGGTAAGTGCCTTTCTCCCCACAGCCTCTCCAGCATGTGTCTGTGGTTGTTTTGCCCATTCTGTGTAGTTTGACTGGTGTGGTGTACCACCTCATAAGTGTTTTGTAACACTGTTCTTGGTGAATGACACACACGGAGGACTTGGTCGCTGCTTCCCATATGTCCTGCCATTCCCCGCTCTCAAGTGTCTGGTGGAGTTCTTTTTCCCATTGTGTTATGTAAGATGGTGTTTGGGCTTCATCAGTGGGTGCGCTCAAATGTATGTATAGGCGAGTGATGAGGCCGACACGTAGTCCCTCAGACATACAAAATACTTAGTAGAATGTGGGTTTGGCCCTAGCCAATTCAGCAACTTCAGGTATTCTGGCAAAGTCCCTCAGTTGAAGGTATCTAAAGTAATCTTTGTTGGTTAACGGGGCCAAGGTCTTTAAATCGTCAAAGGTGCCGAGTGTGCCTGTCTGAAATAAGTGATAGTAACGTTGAACTCCAGTGTCTTCCAGACCCCTGAAGTCCCTGGGTGTCATACCTGGTGGGAATGCCTTATTGCGGAGGTATGGTGTCAGGGGTGAGGTAGGATTCGTGAGTGCATATTTATGTGCCGTAATGTTCCATATGCTAATTGAATTTAGGATGGCTGTGCAGGTGGTGCGGCGTTCTGGGCGATCGGCCCTGGGTACCCATATCCAAAAATGTGGTAAATCAGTGCTCATAAGGAGCGTTTCTAAGTCCACCCATCTATGGGTGTCCGGTGTCGAGTGCCATTCTACAGTTTGTGCCAGTTGGGATGATAGGTAGTATAAGTGTAGATTGGGTAGGCCCAGGCCTCCTCTGCTGTTTGGTGTGTATAATGTGTGCCTTGCCACTCTATGTCTCTTTCTGGCCCAGATGAAGTTGTCTATGGCTGTTTGTAATGGTTTAAGGTCGCTTTTAGTAACTGCCACTGGTAGTGCCTGGAAGAGGAACAGGAGACGTGGCAGGAGGTACATCTTAATAGTGTGAAGTCTCCCCAGCCACGAGATGGGTTTCTCGTGCCATTTGTCTAGATCTGCTCGTAAGGTAGTCTTTGGTAGTTTTTGGTGTAAAGATCGGTGTGGTTTTGCGTGAGTCTAAAACCCAGGTATTTGATGGGTTGTGTGCTAATGAGAATAAGAATAATAAGAATAATTCTAACCAGATTTTACATTTGCAGAATTTTAAATAAGATTCACTATTTCTAAATTACGTAAGCTAATATATCTGGATAATTGCCTGGTATTCTATTTTTAAAGTTAAAAGTAATATAGAGTTCATTGGTCCACCTGCAGGAATGGAATTACGAATTCTACATATTATTAACGAATCATGACTCCTTAAATGTTGGAATCACCAGCTTTTATCCAAGTATATTCTGCCTTTTAGTAAAATCCATTAATTTAATTAAATTAAATAAAACCAGCGTAATTACCAGTTAGGTTGTAGATTTTCTATCAGATGTGTAGATATGTCCCAGGAATTTTGAATGCAAATATGATGAGAGAATTGCATGAAATAGAAACGTTTTCAAAGTTCTGAAGTTGTGTTAGTTGGAAAAGATACAAATAATTAGGTGTGTCCAGCTTTGGCTTTAGATGTCAGATCTTGATGTTAGTTGAGTCCATTCTCAGAGTGAGAGTGTATCTCAGTCTGAGTGAGTCTGAGTGTGAGAGTCTAAGAGTGTTTTGAAGTGTTCAAGAGTTCGAGAGTGTCGCTCTCTCTCCATTGTCCTTAATTTTTAAAGGAGAAGT